CCACCGCCTGTCCAGTCGCAGTCACAGTTACTGCCAGCCTCTCCACTGCCTGGTCCTTCTCCCTACGCTGAGCCGACGGGAGGTCTTACGGAGCGTCGTGAGCCTGAGTCTCGTCCTCCGTCGCCTGAGACTCGTCCAGAGTCGTCTGAGTCGCGTCCAGAGTCACCTGTCCGCGCTGTCCGCGCTGGTCGTCGTGCTCCGCGTCAGCGTCCTCCTCCTGTCCTTGGCACTCACTATATGACCCTGCGTCCTTCTACTGCTCCACGGCGTGTCCCACTGCCGTCTCCACCTGCGTCCTCTCTTCCTGCTCTCGCTGACCTGGAGACTGACTCTCTTCGTGATGCCAGTCCTAGTGTCACGCGTCTCCTTGCCACTGTTGTCACTGACCCTTCCTTTGAGTCCTCTGCTGCGTCTGCTCTAGTCACTGAGCTTGTTGACTTTGCTGCTGCCTGTCGTCTAGACTACGCCGCTAGCCTTGTTGCTGAGTCTGAGTCTGTCTGTCCTCCGTCCGTCGGGGGTGAGTGTGCTCTTAGCACGGACGTCCTTGAGGACAGGCAGGAGGAGTTCCAGTGTTTTGCCGCTGCTTTGCCTCATCTCGTGTCCATGCTAGTTGCCCCTGAGGAAGACCTGGATGCACCAGACATCCCGACCCCACGCTCCTACGCAGAGGCGATGGAGGGTCCCTACTCCTCTCAGTGGCAGACAGCCATGGACGCAGAGATGGCTTCCTGGAAGTCCACAGGCACCTACGTCGACGAGGTTCCCCCACCTGGGGCGAACATCGTCAGTGGCATGTGGATTTTCAGGGTGAAGCGGCCGCCGGGTTCTCCGCCTGTCTTCAAGGCGCGTTACGTTGCACGAGGCTTCAGTCAGCGAGAGGGAGTTGACTTCTTCCAGACCTTCTCCCCGACCCCGAAGATGACCACTCTTCGGGTTCTGCTGCACGTCACCGCTCAGCGTGACTACGAGCTCCACTCTCTTGACTTCAGCACTGCTTTCCTACAGGGCAGCCTGCACGAGGAGATCTGGCTGCGCCGCCCACCTGGCTTCACTGGGTCGTTCCCTCCAGGTACCCAGTGGAGCCTCCGGCGGCCAGTCTACGGTCTCCGCCAGGCACCCCGTGAGTGGCACGACACACTGAGGACTACTCTTGCTGCTCTTGGCTTTGCTCCTTCTACTGCTGACCCGTCGCTGTTTCTACGCACCGACACCACTCTGCCGCCGTTCTACGTTCTGGTTTACGTAGACGACTCGGTCTTTGCTACTGCTGACACTGAGGCACTCGCCCACGTGAAGTCGGAGCTGCAGAAGAGACACACGTGCACAGACCTGGGTGAGCTGACAAGCTATCTTGGCTTGCGGATCACCCGGGACAGAGCACAGCGCACCATCACCTTGACTCAGTCACACATGGTGCAGCTGGTCCTTCAGCGCTTGCGCTTCACGTACTCCTCGCCTCAGTCCACTCCTCTGCCTACCGGTCACTCGCTCTCAGCTCTGCCTTCGGATGAGTCCGTAGAGCCGAGTGGCCCGTATCCAGAGCTTGTGGGCTGCCTCATGTACCTGATGACATGCACTCGACCTGACCTGGCATACCCTCTTAGCATCCTAGCACGCTATGTCGCTCCCGGCCGCCACCAGAAGGAGCACATGGATGCCGCTAAGAGGGTGTTGCGCTACCTGTGCAGTACGTCGGGCATGGGGCTCGTGCTTGGAGGACGGGCTCGAGTTGTCCTCACTGGTCACTCAGACGCTTCTTGGGCTGACGACCAGGCTACGCAGCGGTCGTCTCAGGGTTACACCTTCAGCCTTGGCTCTGGTTCAGTTTCTTGGCGTTCTACTCGCTCTTCTTCTGTTCTCAGCTCCAGTTGTGAGGCTGAGATCTACGCCACAGCCATGGCTGCACAGGAGTTACGCTGGCTCACCTACCTGCTGACCGACCTGGGAGAGCGGCCTCGTTCTCCTCCAGTGCTGTACGTCGACAACAAGGCCGCCATTGCCTTGTGTGAAGAGCACAGACTGGAGCACAGAACGAAGCACATCGCTCTGCGCTACTTCCTTGCTCGAGAGCTGCAGCAGCGTGGTCAGCTTCGTCTTGCGTACGTGGCCACTCGGGCCAACACTGCTGATGTGTTCACCAAGGCGCTTCAGCCTTGTGACCATCAGCGTTTCTGTACTGTTCTAGGCCTTGTGCCTACTGTCCCTCACTTGCTCACTTCTTGACTCTGTTTGTACTGTGATCTCTATATATATACCTGCATGCTTACACTTGCTAGGTTGTGATCACTGTACCTCTTGTTATATTTTCAAACTGCATGTGAACTGGTCTTGTGACCGCTTGCTTGTGCTCGGAATTTGTGTGGTATCCTTGAGATCCACCCTGAGCTTGCTTTGCTCTACTTTGCTTTGACTGGTCTTGTGACCCCTAGCTCTCCCCACTTTGCCTATGGGGGTGTGTCAAACATTATATGTGTTACAGTTTGTAGGCTACAATTGGGTTAGCCTCTAGGGGGTACATAGCTCTAGTCTTTTGTACTTGTACTCTCATTCTTTCTACTGCAACCACTTCTCTCAATTGAAACACCTAGCACCTAAGCCGGCTGCCGTTCTTCGACATGATGGGCTGTATTGATCTCGTCACCCTAACGCAGGAGCGCCTGGACGAGATGACAGCCAACTGCATGCAAGGAGTGAATAAATTGCCGCGCTACGCACGTCACTGCAAAACGATATAGCACGGGCGCAACAACACAAACGCTCAACACAAGGAACAGCAGCACATGCAGCACCATCGACAGCTCAACACAGAAGTTGTGGGACAAAACTCAAGCGCTGCTAGTGATGGCGTCGTGCGCAACGACGTTCGCGACGACCACTTAACGACACGCCCTCGAGCGACGAATGCGGCTGGAAGTTAGCGATGAATGCGGCTGGAAGTCAACGTCTCGACGCATATATTTGACTCGGCACTCCCTTGACCAATGCGCTCAAGCCGCATCGTCCTTCGACCTGAGTCAACGAGGTGGTCTGGCGGTTCAGGCATGGATCTTCACCATAAATGCGTTTTTTCATGCGAACTACGTCTCGCGGAAGAAGCGAAAATTCGCCATGGCGTGTCGTTATTGCAAGGACCCGCAATAGATTGGTGGCGCATCATCGTCACGAAGCCAAGCAATTAAGAGGCTCTTGTCGGAAAATATAAGTTAATATTTTCTATATGTAACTTTCTGTAGGATTGGTTACTGTAGTTATAGCGTTTTCCTATTTGGTGGTGCACCTTTCTTGTTTGTTCTTTCCTATTTGTACCCTCGCTCAATATTGAATCATCCTCTTTTGGCCTTCTCTCTCGACTCTCGTTCCTAACTCTCACCATACCTAGGGTTCCTACTTTCTTGCCTAAGATACTCTTTCAACAGCTCTACCACCACAGGAAGGACCTTCTGGACCCTAAGCGCCATCGTTTTTTGGGGAGGTAGCCCCGTATCACACGTGGGACTCGTGGAGCGCGGGACTGCGAGGGAGATTCGAGCCAATCGCGACGTCACTCTCTGCCCGTCAGAAGCTGCGCACTTGGCGCCAGCTCGGTTCAGCCTAGGACTACACCAGCGGATTCCTTTTCATAGTGCGAGCAGGTGGGGTACATGTACGAAGCTGAGCGCTTGGATCGCTATGTCAGCGGTCTGAAAAGCGACAACGAGCAAGAAATCATGCTGCGCAGCGTCACCGAATTCAACGAAATTCTCGCCATGGCGGAAAAACTTGATTTCCTCCGCCGACCGAGGACGAGGTCCTACAACAAGAGCAACTGAGGACACCGAACTCGTGGGACGAACGAGCACGAGACAGTACATGCTGTCACCGCGAATTCTGCTGCTGCACCGTTCAAAGGGCGCTGCTTCGCGTGCAACAGGCCGGGGCAACGTAAAAGCGAATGCCCATAAGCTAAGGGAATAGATGGAGCCGGGCAGCAGAAATAAACCAAGCACTAGGTAAACGCTGGGAATCAGTAGTAGACGGGCCCTCTATTGACACGTCACGCCGCTCGCCGGACCTAACCGACCCTCACCGAGTAATAGTGCCGATTCACGAAGTCGACCAGACTCGGCTGAACAAGGACAGATAAAAGGTAGACAGTCACAATTTATTCATACTTCGTATGCACGGAAAGTTAAACTGCCAGTTGACCGATGCTTACATGAGATCGACGCAAGACTGGTCGACGTTATAACATTGGCAATACGAGAACTCGTGGACTGGGGTCGGATTCGCTGCGGGGGTAACTTCACCTTTACCCAGGAAATGTTGTCGACGACCCTCAACGGGACCGATATTTTATTTGACCATAATTGGTTGGGACGGCACAACCCGCGGTAAACTACACAACATGCGATTGCACTTTACGAGTGAATGATAACAACACTGCTTTACATTGCTAAAGGTCGCTTGAGTCTTCGTCGGTTCAGGTCAACGCCATCACGATGAAACACGCCGTAGTGGCAGCATGAAAGTGTATGTTATGAAGAGTATACCACAAGTAAATAAAATCATATGGATATACTTATCATACATGAACAATATTTTTTAGTGAGGTAAAGAGGTAAAGAAGACGAATCCGATGGTGGAGACATCTAACTGTATGTTTCGTGGTGTGACATCTATCGGAGCACCTGAACGTTCCATTGACAGTATCCATGGCGGCCGTGAAAGTTCCACGTTAGTAGCACCAGCTTGCATCAATGAATGATTTCGTCAAACACTGTAGGGCTTGCGGCCTGAATGTGGTTACGGACCTCACGAGCCTGTCAACTGTCGCGACACATTCTTCTAGAAGCTTCCCCAAGGGACGTTTTGTGGAAACTCGCATGCTCGCTGTTTGTTGGCACTCCCTAGATTATTGCTCAGAGATTTTTTGGACTCGATTTCATCCAAGCACCTAGAAGATCTCGTAAAATTTCCCTGCGTAGGATCGATCGATAATGCCGCCGACTATTCTTTGCCCGATGCAGCCATTGACGCGCGTATCCAGCGGCATCAGATGGCTGTCGAGTCGCCCTCTCGCGCTCCCCGTCAAGCTTCTCCTCGTGCCTGCTGGCCGCAACCGTCGATACATCTCGTGTAATGCGCAAAGCGGAGGCTCCTCTAGCGGGGACAAGAAGAAGCTTGTATTTCTCGGGTCGCCTGAGGTGGGTCGGGCGAGGAAGAACCGAGACAGCTATGGCTGGACGGCAGAGTGTGCAGCGCCCCGCCTCACTGCGCTGCTGCTCACTACACGTCTGTGCACAGCTACCCTTCCTCTCGTCGCCTCTTCTCCTCCGCGCCATCCCACCGCGCGCCTCTCCTCACGCCGTCCCTCCGCGCGCCTCTCCTTCGCGCCATCCCTCCGCGCGCCTCTCCTCCGCGCCATCGCTCCGCGCGCCTCTCCTCTGCGCCATCCCACCACGCGCCTCTCCTCCGCGCCCCTCATTTCCCCTGCCATGTTCGCCGCTTCGCAGTGTCTTCGTGCGCCCCACATCCCCGCTTCACCCCAGCCAATCCCCCCTTCGCTCTACTCCTTTGCGCCCTCCGCCTCCCCTCCCCCCTTCCCTGCCTCCCCTCCTCCCCTCCTCCCTGTCTCCCCTCCTCCCCACCTCTCCTCCGCCCCTCCTCCCGACCTCTCCTCATCCCCTCCTCCCCCCTCCCTGCCTCCCCAAGTCTCCACCTCCCCCTCTTCTCCTCCTCCATGTTGCAGCGGGGGTGCCGGATTGACTGCTCCCCGCCCCCTCCCCTCCCTTTCTGTCCTTCTCCCCATCCCCTCCCCTCCCTTTCTGTCCTCCTCCCCATCCCCTCCCCTCCTTTCTGTCCTCCTCCCCGCCCCCTCCCCTCCCCCTCCCCTCCCTTTCCGTTTTGCTCCCCCTCCCCTCTGCTCCTGCGCGCACAGGTGGCGGCGGGGGTGTTGGGCCGACTGCTGGACGCGGCTCAGCAGCCGCACTCGCTCTTTGAGGTCAGTGCGTAACCGCTCATAGGCAGGCCCACGGGCAGGCTAACGGGCAGGCGCGCAGTAAGGACCAATTCTCGACAGCGAAAGGGCAGCTCCAACCAATGTGCCGCGTGCATCGGTGTGCCGTCACTGGATACGACACTCTGACTTGCTTCTTGCCTTCCCGGCCTTGCTTCTCCCATGTTCCCCCCAATCCTCATCTCTGCGTCCTGCCACCCCCCGCCTGCTACTACACCTTCCCCATGGCATCACCTCGCAAGCTGCCTCCCACACCCCCTTCTCCCTCTACACTGCTGCCTCTTCCCACCACCTACTTACTCTGCTTCCCACGCCGTTCGCAAAACTTTCCCCTTTCTTTACTCCCACCCACCTACCTCTTCCCCGCCCTTCTTCCCCGCCCGTCTTCCCCACCTTCCCCCCCTTTTATCCCCCGTGCGCGCTCACCCCACCAGGTGGCGGCGGTGGTCACGCAGCCGCCGTCCAGTCGGGGCAGGGGGCGCAGTAAAGGACAGCTGCAGCCGACCGCCGTGGGACAGCTGGCAGCAGATCGCGGCCTGCCGGCCGACCGCATCCTCTCGCCCGCCACGGCTCGCGATGTGCGTGCTTGTTGTCCGCATCCCTGATGTGCGTGCTTGTTGTCCGCATCCCTGATGTGCGTGCTTGTTGTCCGCATCCCTGATGTGCGTGCTTGTTGTCCGCATCCCTGATGTGCGTGCTTGTTGTCCGCATCCCTGATGTGCGTGCTTGTTGTCCGCATCCGCTGCCCTGCTGCTCTCATCTCCACTCTCGCCCAACCCCATGCCATACCCTTATCAATCTTTATTCCCCCCTTTTCCGCACATCTCCACTCTCGCCCAACCCCATGCCATACCCCCACGCGCTGCCAGCCCGCCTTTCTGGAGGCGCTGAAACACCTGCAGCCAGACGTGTGCATCACTGCAGCATATGGAAACTTCCTCCCGACTTCCTTCCTCTCTATCCCGCTCCAAGGTAACCACGTGCATCCACCCATCTGTCCCTTTCTCTTAAGCTCTCTTGCACACTCTTGCACTCTCTTGCGCTCTCTTGCGCTCTCTTGCGCTCTCTTGCGCTCTCTTGCGCTCTCTCGCGCTCTCTCGCGCTCATGCGCTCTCTTGCGCTCTCTCGCGCCCTCTTGCGCTCTCTTGCGCTCTCTCGCGCTCTCTCGCGCTCTCTTGCGCTCTCTTGCGCTCTCTTGCGCTCTCTTGTATTCTCTTGCATGCACTCTCTTGCGCTCTCTTGCGCTCTCTTGCGCTCTCTTGCGCTCTCTCGCGCTCTCTTGCGCTCTCTTGCGCTCTCTCGCGCTCTCTCGCGCTCTCTCGCGCTCATGCGCTCTCTCGCGCTCTCTTGCGCTCTCTTGCGCTCTCTCGCGCTCTCTCACGCTCTCTTGCGCTCTCTTTCGCTCTCTTGCGCTCTCTTGCATTCTCTTGCATGCACTCTCTTGCGCTCTCTTGCGCTCTCTTGCGCTCTCTTGCGCTCTCTCGCGCTCTCTCGCGCTCTCTTGCGCTCTCTTGCGCTCTCTTGCGCTCTCTTGCGCTCTCTTGCGCTCTCTTGCATGCACTCTCTTGCGCTCTCTTCCGCTCTCTCGCGCTCTCTCGCGCTCTCTCGCGCTCTCTCGCGCTCTCTCGCGCTCTCTCGCGCTCTCATGCGATCTCTCGCGCTCTCTCGCGCTCTCTCGCGCTCTCTTGCGCTCTCTCTTGCGATCTCTTGCGCTCTCTTGCGCTCTCTTGTGCTCTCTTGCGCTCTCTTGCGCTCTCTTGCGCTCTCTTGCGCTCTCTTGCGCTCTCTTGCGCTCTCTTGCGCTCTCTCGCGCTCTCTCGCGCTCTCTCGCGCTCTCTCGCGCTCTCTCGCGCTCTCTCGCGCTCTCTCGCGCTCTCTCTCGCTCTCTCGCGCTCTCTCGCGCTCTCTCGCGCTCTCTCGCGCTCTCTCGCGCTCTCTCGCGCTCTCTCGCGCTCTCTCGCGCTCTCTCGCGCTCTCATGCGCTCTCTTGCGCTCTCTTGCGCTCTCTCTTGCGATCTCTTGTGCTCTCTTGCGCTCTCTTGCGCTCTCTTGCGCTCTCTTGCGCTCTCTTGCGCTCTCTTGCACTCTCTTGCGCTCTCTTGCGCTGTCTTGCGCTCTCTTGCCCTCTCTTGCGCTCTCTTGCGCTCTCTTGCGCTCTCTTGTGCTGTCTTGCGCTCTCTTGCGCTCTCTTGCGCTCTCTTGCGCTCTCTTGCGCTCTCTTGCGCTCTCTCGCGCTCTCTCGCGCTCTCTCGCGCTCTCTCGCGCTCTCTCGCGCTCTCATGCGCTCTCTTTCGCTCTCTCGCGCTCTCTCGCGCTCTCTCGCGCTCTCTCGCGCTCTCTTGCGCTCTCTCTTGCGATCTCTTGCGATCTCTTGTGCTCTCTTGCGCTCTCTTGCGCTCACTTGCGCTGTCTTGCGCTCTCTTGCGCTCTCTTGCGCTCTCTTGCGCTCTCTTGCGCTCTCTTGCGCTCTCTTGCGCTCTCTTCCACGCGCCTGGCTCCTCCACGACACTCTCACACGCAAGCACTTGTGTGGAGAGGGTAACGTGATAATCAAGGGTGACTTGTGCGGCTTGCTAGTGGACATTCGCCTTCATTCATGAGCAGGCACTGTGAACATTCACCCCCATTCATGAGCAGGCACTGTGAACATTCACCCCCATTCATGAGCAGGCACTGTGAACATTCACCCCAGCCTGCTCCCCAAGTTCAGAGGAGCGTCACCCGTGCAGCGAGCACTGGAGGTGAGCTGGAGGCTGTGGAGCTGGAAATGGGGCTGAGGAGGTGGGAAGGGGGTTGAGGAGGTGGGAAGGGGGTTGAGGAGGTGGGAAGGGGGTTGAGGAGGTGGGAAGGGGGTTGATTGGCGGATGGAAGGTAAGAAGGGAGGGCGAGTGGCGAGGCGCTGTGCAGGCGGGAAGGGATGATGAAGGCACGAGGAGGCACGAGGAGGCACTGGGATTTATTTTTTCCTCTCACTTTCCAAATACGCCTCCCTCCCTCCTGGTATGTATCTCTGTCTTTCAAGATGCTGTTCTGGGCACAACAAGGTGCTGTTCTGGGCACAACAAGGTGCTGTTCTGGGCACAACAAGGTGCTGTTCTGGGCACAACAAGGTGCTGTTCTGGGCACAACAAGGTGCTGTTCTGGGCACAACAAGGTGCTGTTCTGGGCACAACAAGGTGCTGTTTTGGGCACAACAAGGTGCTGTTCTGGGCACAACAAGGTGCTGTTCTGGGCACAACAAGGTGCCGGCTCTCGGAACACAGTGGAGTGCCTCCTTGTTATTTCTTCAGGGCATCCTTGTTATTTCTTCAGGGCATCCTTGTTATTTCTTCAGCGCATCCTTGTTATTTCTTCAGGGCATCCTTGTTATTTCTTCAGGGCATCCTTGTTATTTCTTCAGGGCATCCTTGTTATTTCTTCAGGGCATCCTTGTTATTTCTTCAGGGCATCCTTGTTATTTCTTCAGGGCATCCTTGTTATTTCTTCAGGACATCCTTGTTTTTTCTTCAGGGCATCCTTGTTATTTCTTCAGGGCATCCTTGTTATTTCTTCAGGGCATCCTTGTTATTTCTTCAGGGCATCCTTGTTATTTCTTCAGGGCATCCTTGTTATTTCTTCAGGGCATCCTTGTTATTTCTTCAGCGCATCCTTGTTATTTCTTCAGCGCATCCTTGTTATTTCTTCAGCGCATCCTAGTTATTTCTTCAGGGCATCCTTGTTATTTCTTCAGCGCATCCTTGTTTTTTCTTCAAGGCATCCTTGTTATGTCCCTTTGCCACAGCAGTCCATCCATCTCAAATCGTTGGCCCACCGTGCACACCGCCGTGCACTCGTCCATGTGTGGTGATCCCTTCATGTGTTCCCTTCATGTGTTCCCTTCATGTGTTCCCTCTCCGCTCTCCCCCGGGCAGCAAGGGGTGAGGGAGACGGGAGTGACAGTGGCGTACACGGTGCTGCAGATGGATGCGGGGCCCATCATCGCACAGGAGAGGGTGGCCGTGGCGGATGACATTCAAGCGCCCGCACTGCTAAACGACCTCTTCCATCGAGGTGCCTCTTCAATGCCGCCACTCGCTGCCTGCACTCGCTGCCTGCACCCCACCTTTCCTCGCCGTCCAAGGCGCCCACCTTGCCTCGCCACACCCCATGCCATTGCCACACCTCATCACTGGCCTCTGCAACTGTGCCGTGCCATGCGGTGCTGTGCTTTGCTGTGCTGTACGGTGCTGTGTTGTGCCGTCCTCCAAACACTCTTCACTTCCCCATCCCGCTAACCTCCTACGCCTAAAGCCCACTGCAGCAGCAGTGCACAGGACAGCTTAAGTGCGAACACAACATGAATCCCTCTCTCCTCTCTCTCCTCTGTCACCTCCCACCCACAACCCCTCCTCTCTCTCCTCTGTCACCTCCCACCCACAACCCTCCTCTCTCTCCCCTGTCGCCTCCCACCCACAACCCCTCCTCTCTCTCCTCTGTCACCTCCCACCCACAACCCCTCCTCTCTCTCCTCTGTCACCTCCCACCCACAACCCCTCCTCTCTCTCCTCTGTCACCTCCCACCCACAACCCCTCCTCTCTCTCCTCTGTCACCTCCCACCCACAACCCCTCCTCTCTCTCCTCTGTCACCTCCCACCCACAACCCCTCCTCTCTCTCCTCTGTCACCTCCCACCCACAACCCCTCCTCTCTCTCCCCTGTCGCCTCCCACCCACAACCCCTCCTCTCTCTCCTCTGTCACCTCCCACCCACAACCCCTCCTCTCTCTCCTCTGTCACCTCCCACCCACAACCCCTCCTCTCTCTCCTCTGTCACCTCCCACCCACAACCCCTCCTCTCTCTCCTCTGTCACCTCCCACCCACAACCCCTCCTCTCTCTCCTCTGTCACCTCCCACCCACAACCCCTCCTCTCTCTCCTCTGTCACCTCCCACCCACAACCCCTCCTCTCTCTCCCCTGTCGCCTCCCACCCACAACCCCTCCTCTCTCTCCTCTGTCACCTCCCACCCACAACCCCTCCTCTCTCTCCTCTGTCACCTCCCACCCACAACCCCTCCTCTCTCTCCTCTGTCACCTCCCACCCACAACCCCTCCTCTCTCTCCTCTGTCACCTCCCACCCACAACCCCTCCTCTCTCTCCTCTGTCACCTCCCACCCACAACCCCTCCTCTCTCTCCTCTGTCACCTCCCACCCACAACCCCTCCTCTCTCTCCTCTGTCACCTCCCACCCACAACCCCTCCTCTCTCTCCTCTGTCACCTCCCACCCACAACTCCTCCTCTCTCTCCCCTGTCGCTTCCCACCCACAACCCCTCCTCTCTCTCCTCTGTCACCTCCCACCCACAACCCCTCCTCTCTCTCCTCTGTCACCTCCCACCCACAACCCCTCCTCTCTCTCCCCTGTCGCCTCCCGCCAGGCACGCACCTGCTACTGCAGCATCTGCGCTTATGAGGCGCCTAAGAAAGTGCAACCCCCTCCTCCACCCTCTCTCCCTTCCCTCTTCCCGTGTCGCCTCCCTCACCAGGCACGCACCTACTACTGCAGCATCTGCCCACTGTGCTGGATGGCTCTGCGGCTGCCACTGCCACGCCGCAAGACGACTCCCAAGCCACCCACGCTGCTAAGGTGCAGCTAGCGGGACTCCAGAGGGCACGGGCTTGCATCCAGAGGGCACGGGCTTGCATCCGATCTCCATTTGACATGGTGGCATGGGCTTGTGTTCAATTTGACTTCTTACGTTGCAGAATTCGACTGTATCTTGCCTGTGCATGCAGCAGCATCTGACTACCTCACAGCATCTGACGGCATCACCGCACCATCGCCGCACCATCGCCGCACCATCGCCGCACCATCACCGCACCATCACCGCACCATCACCGCACCATCACCGCACCATCACCGCACCATCACCGCACCATCGCCGCACCATCGCCGCACCATCACCGCACCATCACCGCACCATCACCGCACCATCGCCGCACCATCGCCGCACCATCGCCGCACCATCGCCGCACCATCACCGCACCATCACCGCACCATCACCGCACCATCACCGCACCATCACCGCACCATCACCGCACCATCGCCGCACCATCACCGCACCATCACCGCACCATCACCGCACCATCACCGCACCATCACCGCACCATCGCCGCACCATCACCGCACCATCACCGCACCATCACCGCACCATCACCGCACCATCACCGCGCCATCACCGCACCATCACCGCACCATCACCGCACCATCACCGCACCATCACCGCACCATCACCGCACCATCACCGCACCATCACCGCACCATCACCGCACCATCACCGCACCATCACCGCACCATCACCGCACCATCACCGCACCATCACCGCACCATCACCGCACCATCACCGCACCATCGCCGCACCATCGCCGCACCATCACCGCACCATCACCGCACCATCACCGCACCATCGCCGCACCATCGCCGCACCATCGCCGCACCATCGCCGCACCATCACCGCACCATCACCGCACCATCACCGCACCATCACCGCACCATCACCGCACCATCACCGCACCATCACCGCACCATCACCGCACCATCACCGCACCATCACCGCACCATCACCGCACCATCACCGCACCATCACCGCACCATCACCGCACCATCACCGCACCATCACCGCACCATCACCGCACCATCACCGCACCATCACCGCACCATCGCCGCACCATCGCCGCACCATCGCCGCACCATCGCCGCACCATCGCCGCACCATCACCGCACCATCACCGCACCATCACCGCACCATCACCGCACCATCACCGCACCATCACCGCACCATCACCGCACCATCACCGCACCATCGCCGCACCATCACCGCACCATCACCGCACCATCACCGCACCATCACCGCACCATCACCGCACCATCACCGCACCATCACCGCACCATCACCGCACCATCGCCGCACCATCGCCGCACCATCACCGCACCATCACCGCACCATCGCCGCACCATCGCCGCACCATCGCCGCACCATCACCGCACCATCACCGCACCATCACCGCACCATCGCCGCACCATCACCGCACCATCACCGCACCATCACCGCACCATCACCGCACCATCACCGCACCATCACCGCACCATCACCGCACCATCACCGCACCATCACCGCACCATCACCGCACCATCACCGCACCATCACCGCACCATCACCGCACCATCACCGCACCATCACCGCACCATCACCGCACCATCACCGCACCATCACCGCACCATCACCGCACCATCACCGCACCATCACCGCACCATCACCGCACCATCACCGCACCATCACCGCACCATCACCGCACCATCACCGCACCATCACCGCACCATCACCGCACCATCACCGCACCATCACCGCACCATCACCGCACCATCACCGCACCATCACCGCACCATCACCGCACCATCACCGCACCATCACCGCACCATCACCGCACCATCACCGCACCATCACCGCACCATCACCGCACCATCACCGCACCATCACCGCACCATCACCGCACCATCACCGCACCATCACCGCACCATCACCGCACCATCACCGCACCATCACCGCACCATCACCGCACCATCACCGCACCATCACCGCACCATCACCGCACCATCACCGCACCATCACCGCACCATCACCGCACCATCACCGCACCATCACCGCACCATCACCGCACCATCACCGCACCATCACCGCACCATCACCGCACCATCACCGCACCATCACCGCACCATCACCGCACCATCACCGCACCATCACCGCACCATCACCGCACCATCGCCGCACCATCACCGCACCATCACCGCACCATCACCGCACCATCACCGCACCATCACCGCACCATCGCCGCACCATCGCCGCACCATCACCGCACCATCACCGCACGATGCGTTGATTCCTGCATTGCCGCACCTGGCACTCATCCCTTCATTGTGTTCTCTCGTGGCAGGTGGCAGCGGAGGAGGGCATCCTCGACTTCTCTCTGCCCGCCCTCACACTGCACAACAAGGTGCCGCCATCACAGCACTGCATGCCATCACAGCACCACATGCCATCACAGCACCACATGCCATCACAGCACCACATGTCATAGCAGCACCACATGCCAACACAGCACCACATGCCATCACAGCACCACATGCCATCACAGCACCACATGCCATCACAGCACCACATGCCATCGCAGCACCACATGCCATCACAGCACCACATGCCATCACAGCACCACATGCCATCACAGCACCACATGTCATAGCAGCACCACATGCCTTCACAGGTTTAGAACTCTCTTGTATGGCAGCTCCGTGCCCTCTCACTCACACCCTCCCTGCATCACCTGCACTGCAGGTCAGCCCATTGCCCTTTCACCCACACTCTTCCCTCCTACCCCTCCCCATTACTCCGTCTGCGCTCACTCCTCCACTCCTCCCTCTTACCCGAACCACACGTCCAGATTCGGGCGTTCGCACCCTGGCCCGGCACCCGAGCCTCGTTCATAACCAAGGACCCAGTCACGGGCGACGTGGACAACGTCTCCCTCAAGCTGCTGCGCACCAAGCCCCGCCCTGCTGCCCCCTCCTCCTCCCCGCCTGGCCCCGCGGTGGCACCGGAGGAGGTGGAGGAGGTGCGGCTGGAGGGGCAGGCCATGCTCGTTCCGTGTGACGATGGCTCCGTGCTTGAGGTGAGTGCTCCCCTCTCTGCTCAGGCAGTGGCCGCCCAGGCAGTGGCCGCCCAGGCAGTGGCTGTCTTCTGACGTTCCACACTTCAAAGCCCTCCTGCATCTCCCTCCACTCCGGCACGCCATGCTCACCTGCACGCCATGCTCACCTGCCCGCCATGCTCACCTGCCCGCCATGCTCACCTGCCCGCCATGCTCACCTGCTCGCCATGCTCACCTGCCCGCCATGCTCACCTGCTCGCCATGCTCACCTGCCCGCCATCCGTGTGGCAAGCGGCCTGCTGTACCGCAGCAGTGCATTCACTCTCATATGTATCTTCCCCTCTCTGCGCGTCCCCCATCACGTCTCCCTCTGCTACACTTCCCCACCCTGCATCACACAACCCTGCGTCTACCTCCCTCCCATCCCGCCATGCCGGCATGTGTGCATGGCAGGTGCTGGAGGTGCAGCCAGAGAGCAAGCGCCCCATGCCAGCCAAGGCGTTCTGGAACGGCCTCCGCGACCGCAAGCTCTACCGCCCCGCCTGAACCTCCGCTGTCGCCACCTTCAGGATCTACCGCCCTCCCTGAGTGCAGCTCTGCCGGCCTTTTGCACCATCTTCAAGATCTTTAAGAACTCCAAGGTTTTGGTCGACGTTTGTTTGCATGCAATGGCCATTGCAGCTGCTTTTGTTGCTCGATGATACTTGTGCCTCTTACAGGATTCCTCCTTTCTGTCATTACTGCATTCTGCTTCGAAGTTTGTGGCTACACCACTGCACCAAGTTACAATTATTTTGCACTCGACATACCGTATTGCCATTGTCCAGAATGCCGTGCTTTCATGGAGCTTTGTGCGCGCTTGTGTTGCGCCGTGGCTCCTTTATGCCCTCCATGTTCTTGCTGTTTGGCTCCCTTTCCTTTCCGCCGTCTTTCGCCTCCATGGCTCCCTGTCCCCCGTGTTCTGCGGCTGCCCTTTGGTTTGCTCCATTCCTCTTTCCCCTCCGCTTCCCTTGCCGTCTTTCCACATGTCTGCGTCCTCTTGTTTCCACTCACTCAATTCCACTCATTTGGTCTCGCTGCTCCTCTTTCCCTTCCTCCAGTGCCTCAACTTTTTGTTTTCTTAGTAATGTTGATTAAGACAATACTCTTCAAAGAGTATGCAGAGCAGTCGTCAGAGCAGTCGTCATAGCATTTCAGATCTTATCGTACAGCACACTAGATTGCATATTACAAAGTAAAATAACAAAGAGAAATTGTAGGTATCCAAACTATGTATCAATGAATATAAATCTATATGGGAGGGGGGGGTGGGTTCTAAACTAGATCTATAAATGATTTTTGGACTAGGTGGCAGGTCCGTAAACCTGCCACAATATAAGGAGCGATAGACTCCTTACTGCATTCTCCTTTACGTGTATTGTCATAATCTTTAAATTTTGAAATTTATTTCATAATTTTTCATATTAAGACAATACTCTTCAAAGAGTATGCAGAGCAGTCGTCATAGGTAACACGAGACATTAGGTACGGGAATGAGCTAGCCAGCATCCTGGAAATATGGCACGTAAACACGCGATATGGCTGAGCTAGCCAGCATCCTGGAAAAGGAGCACGTAAACACGCGATACTCATATGTCCCAGAAGGACATCCACCAGAGGCCTGGGGAGAACCTCTACGATGGTTGATATAGGTTCCTCAGAGCCATATAGGGCAAATTAGAGCTGGACAGGGCTCTATCGGCCGACCGTCTATCTAGAAATATGGCTGAGCTAGCCAGCATCCTGGAAAAGGAGCACGTAAACACGCGATACTCATATGTCCCAGAAGGACATCCACCAGAGGCCTGGGGAGAACCTCTACGATGGTTGATATAGGTTCCTCAGAGCCATATAGGGCAAATTAGAGCTGGACAGGGCTCTATCGGCCGACCGTGTTGTTTTTTTTTTTTTTTTTTTTTTTTTTTTTTTTTTTTTCAGTCAAGTGAATCTCACCGAATGAGCGTAAACGCAAATACGAGCGGCAATTATTGACAACTTTTTCGTGCAGTGCACGTTTGTCAAGGAGCACAACATGCGGAAACTTCATTTCAAACAGAAATATACCGTATCTCAACATTTGTGTGGATAATTTAAAGCTTGATAAAATGCTCAGCTCAGCACCCTATGAAGGGGAAGGGGCGTATCACAAAACGTAGCCCTAGCAAATGGCCAAAATACCAAGCTTTTATTTCCAATGAACATTGATTTATGCATAGAATCGTATGCGTTGCATAACCTCTTGTAACATTATATTCGACAATCATGCCAGTTTCTTGATCTCTCCCTTGGATAGGGTCATAATTTCAAGGCCATAATATTTTGATATCATAATCTTCATAGGCCCGTGGCCTTAATACGGCCATCGCAGGGCCTGAGCCAAAAGTTTATAAATGGTACTTCTGCTGGGGCGAAATCGTTTTGGGAACCCTAAACCCTCCAACGGCCCTGCCAAATGTATACTGCCGCTTTAATCGGCCAGAAATGGAAAAATATCATGATCTTAATCGGCCTCGTGTCACCACAATTTCTGTCTTGTCACCAATAGCGATATTGTGCTTAGTGCAGCACCAGCAGCAGAAGCAGCTCGAAATTTCACTGCTGTCCCCACCAGCCACTGCAGCACCACTAGTGGCGATCTAGATAGTACCCGCAGCAGATCGCACGACAGTAGCAGCAGATCGCGCTGCACCACCAGCAGATATCGCAGCGGCAGCAGCGGATTTCGAGCACCAGCAGCAAATCTCGAGGGAAAGCAGCTGATCTCGCAGCAGGAGCAGATCGCGCAGCTACACCAGCAGATCTCGCGCGCCAGCAGCAAAATCTAGCGCGTCAGCAGCAGAATCTCGCGCGCCTGGAGCAAATCTCGAGCGCCAGCAGCAAACCTCCGCGCCAGCAGCAGATCTCCGCGCCAGCAGCAAATCTCGCACGCCAGTAGCAGAATCTAGCGTTCCAGCAGCAGAAATTCGCGCGCTAGGAGCAAATCTCGGGCTCCAGCAGCAAACCTCCAGCAGCATATCTCCGCGTCAGCAGGAAATCTCGCGCGCAAGCAGCGATTCGCGAGCGCCAGCAGCAATCATGAGCACCAGCAGCAAATCTCGAAGCTGCAGCAGCAAATCGTGAGCACCAGCAGCAAATCTCGAAGCTGCAGCAGCAAATCGTGAGCACCAGCAGCAAATCTCGAGGCTGCAGCAGCAAATCGTGAGCAAAGCAGCAGATCGCGAGCACCGGCAGCAGATTTCGTAACAGGAGAAGATCGCGAGCACCGACCTCAGATCGCGCAGCGACAGTACCAGATCTCGTAGCGGCAGCACCAGATCGCGTGGGAGGAACGGCAGGCCGCACGTCAACACTAATGACAGTGCGTGAGAAGCAGCGGTTGCATAGCATCAGCAATAGCAGGGTCTCGTAACATCAGCAGCAGCCCCAAGGCGCAGACAGCAATAGCATGCCGAAATCTCGCCATTCGCACCAGCGTCTCACTACTAACGTAATTCGCGATTTGCCCTGCACAAGTACTGTAAACTCGCCACCGCATCAACCTCAAGAAGTGACGATCTCGTCATGTGGAGTGAAACGAGGGTCAGGATAATCTTAGTAGCAATGGCGGATGAGTAGTAGTAAAGGGTGCAAGGTTTAGGTAGGTGTGCTGTTCTAAACTAGATCTATAAATGATTTTTGGACTAGGTGGCAGGTCCGTAAACCTGCCACAATATAAGGAGCGATAGACTCCTTACTGCATTCTCCTTTACGTGTATTGTCATAATCTTTAAATTTTGAAATTTATTTCATAATTTTTCATATTTTGCATATTTTCTCTGAAATGGGGGCTATTCAAGTGTAGGTCGCCATCTTACGGTACCGTATGCATCTTCCATGCTCGTTTCAGCCTGCTGCACAACCAATAGGATGCCATCCTCCCCTCGGTTCGTTTGCCTCTGGCACCTTAGTCCTCCATTCATTCATCTCATCCCATATGAAACCTCTTTGTAGCCCGTCAGCACATTAATCAGAGAGTGCATCCAGCAGAGTGCAGCACAGTGCTGGTCTTTACTTGCTGCATGCATGGTGAATGGACCATTCTGCTGCCACACACCACGCTACACCACACATCCACATCGTTATGCCGTGGCATGACACAGGAAAGAGCTACAGTGCAACCGTGAGATCTGCTGCTGCACGACACAACATGTGATACCCCCCCCTCCACTGAAGAACGCACGACACGTCAGAACACCCCCTGACTAAATCCACCTAATCGCCTGTGAAGGCACTCTACAGCCGAGAGGTCAACCACTCAGCCTGGAAACCTTTCATTGGCCTTACATCCCATGGCCCCATGGCTAGCTCTGCGCTGCGCCAGCTGTTAGGAGGTTCGCTTGCTCTTGGGAGCACCACCGGCACGCCCAGGCAAGGAAACTTGCCAAGAGAGGCATTCACAGCGGTGCAGCAGGGGGAGACAGTCCCAGCTGCTACCTACGTACACTGAGACCAGCTGCTTGGGGGAGCACTCAGGAATGCTGCCATGGCTGGCAGAGTGAGCGTGGGATGCTGCTGCTACCAGCTGTCTGTGCATTCACCACTGGGGCAGCACCCATCCACCGGGCCAGCTCCAACCAGCATGGCAGCACCACGTGCCACGGCAACATTTTCGGTCAGATCTCAATGTTCATCCCAGCCTTCTTTGACAGGCCACCCACACCTGACAGGAACGCCGCCCGAGCCTTGTGCCACTGCTCCTTGCCGATCCTCTGCGCCTCCCGAAGCTGAGCCTCGGCGGCGTCTCGTGTGCCCCCCTGCACCCCGCCCTCCCCCTCATCTATCAACTCATCCACTATGCGAGCCCACTTCTGCCTCACTGACAGCTTCCCTGCCCCTGCCCCTCCCGCCCCCACTCCCCCTGCCGTACCCGCCCCCACTCCCCGTGCAGACAGCCTCGCTGCTGCTGCCTCCTCCTCTCGCCCTGACCCCACTGTGATCGCTCGCCCCATCTGCTGCCGCGCTGCTCCAGGCTCCACCCGCTGCTGCTGCTGCTGCTGCTGCTGCTGCTGTGGTGCAGTGGTTAAGGCCCGCCCCAGCTGTGCCTGCCTCTGCTGCTGCCCCTGGGACTCTTCTTTGCTCTTCTCGCCCTTGGCCCCAGCCACAGGTGTAGCAGTGGCAGCGGCAGCAGCGGCAGCGGCAAGGGGAGGGGCAAAGGCAGGTGGTGGTGCCTGGGGTAGCATCGCCGTTCCTTCATCCACGCGGATAGCCACGTCTGCCGGGGCTCCCTCTGTCCCATCACCCACCTCCACCACCACATCCCCTCCTCCCCCTGCTGTGGGAGCACCAGCAGCAGGAGAAGCTGCTGCTGCTGCAGCAGCAGCAGCAGCGGCAGGGGAACGAGCACGAGCACCTGCAGCGACAAAAGCAGCAGCAGCGGCGGCAGCAGAAGGCGCTGTGGCAGAGACGGCACCATCACCACCCGCTTTCACACACACACCCTCATCCCCCTCCCCCTCCACCTCCCTCTCCCCCCACTCCCCCTCCCCCTTCTCCCCGTCCATCTCCCGCCCCCAGAACTCAGACAGCCGCTCGGACGCCTCCCCCTCCTCGGCGCGTCTCGCCCGCTCCACCCTCTGCCTCTCCTCAAAAGCCCGGATGCGTTCAGCCGCCTGCGCCTCCCTCTCCACCATCGCCACCTCCTCCCGCCGCCGCAGCGCCGCCAGCTCCTTGCTCCAGTAGTCCGACAGACTCTCCGCCTCCTCGCCCGGTTCCTCATCCCCCTCCCGCCCCGCCTGCTCCGCTCGACTCTTATTCTTCTCTGCCTGGCTCTGCTCTTCAAACTGCCTCACGCGCTCCTCTGCTTTCCTCTCCTCCTCCAGCAGGGCCTGCCTCTCCTTCTCTCGAAACTCCTCCAGTTCCTTCTGCCAGAACTCAGACAGTGTCTCGCTCTTGGCGCTCCTCTCACTCGTCTCGTCCTCTTCTTTCTTCCGCTCTGCCTCTTTCTCACCTCCCACTGCCTCCTTGCCGCCTTGCATTCCAACAACAGCAACAGCTGCCACTGCCCCTGCCGCTGCCGAAGGTGCCACCGTTTTGGATTCCTCCTTCCCCTCTCCCTTCTCGCCCTGTCCTCTCTTCTCCTCCTTCTCGTCCTCCTTTCCCTTCTCGACCATTCCATCCTTCCTCCGCGCATGCACCGCCCTCTCACTCACCTCCTCCTCCCGCGCCTCAGCAGCGGCCACCAGCTGCCGAATCTCCTCAGCCGAGGCGGCATCGGGCACGTGCAGCGTGAGGGCGCGTTCAAGAGCCTGCGCGTACTGCTGCTGGCGCTCCTTCGAAGTCATTGATCGCTGCATGGACCGATGCATGCGCTGCTGTGAGGGAGGTGCTGTCTCCTCCTCCTCCTCCTCCGCCTGCTCCCGCAGCTCTAGAGATTCCACGGCGACCGTTGATCGGCGCTCGATGATGACGATCGAATGGTCGTCGATGGCCGTGCGCGACAGCACCACCTTCTCGAAGCGATCTTCGACCGGCACGGCGGTCTTCACCTGCGGCTCCTCCTCCTGGCAGCTGGGAAGGGCATGGCGTACGGGATTCAAACGAGGAGAGGGGGACGCGGAAGGAGGGGGGAGAGGGTATTTGATAAAATGGTCCTCTATTGGTACGGCGGTCTCCACCTGCGGCTCCTCCTCCTGGCAACTGGGGGGGAAGCAGGGGCAGGGGGGTTGGGAGAAAGAGGGAGGGGGGGAAGGAGGGGGACGAGGGAGGAAAGAGCAGCAGACAGGTCACTTGTCAAAACGGCCCTCTACTGGCACGGCCGTCTTCACCTGCGGCTCCTCCCCTTTGCAGCTGGGGGGGCGGGGGCATGGGGGTTGAACGAGGAGAGGGGTTGGGGGAAGGGGGAAAGAGGGATGAAGGAGTGGCAGGCAGGTTGCTTCTCGAAATCGCCGCTACGGCACGGTGGCCTTCACCTGCGGCTTCCCCTCCTTGCAGCTGGGGGAGAGGGGGGCGAGGGGGGTGGGACACACACGGGGTGAAGTAAAAGGGTAGGGGAGAGAGAGAGCGTCAGGCAGGTCACTCGCATGTAGAAGCAGGAGCGTTGAGATGCAGAGCGTTGGGATGCCGCGCAGATGGAACGAATATGACACAGTGGCCACACGCAATACAAGAGCAGCGGTGCAGCTCCATTGTACCTGCTGCACTTACAGCGCAGGGTAGAAGATGTAGAGCCTCACCTGAAGTCGGAGGTGTAAAGGATGTGGAAGAGGCGGCCAGGCGCATAGAGGCGGCGGGGGTCCTTCACACGGCGCTTGTAGCAGCCGCATGTGTCCCAGCAGCACTTGACGCACAGCATGCAGGGCAGACTGGGGAGTGAGGCGGGCGAGGGCGGGGGACGGAGAGTGAGGGAGGAGATTGAGGGGAGGAGAGTGAAAGAAGCGGAGGGAGGGAAGGAGCTTGAGGGAAGTGCGTGAGGGAAGAGCGTGAGGAAAGGAGCGGGACGGAAGGAGGGAGGGAAGGAGCGCGAGGGAAAGAGATGGCGGCGTACCAGACGGGGGATGGGAGGCGTACAAGAGTGGGGATGGGAGGCGTACCAGAAGGAGGGGCGTACCAGAAGGAGGGGCGTACCAGAAGGAGGGGCGTACCAGAAGGAGAGCGCGAGGATGTTATCGATGGGCGCTGACGTGCGCGGAAGGAAATCGTCCTGCGGGGGGCGGGCAGGGGGAACGACGTGCGCGGGGAGAGGGGGGAAGGAGGAGGGGGGAAGGGGAGGGGAACAGGGGGAAGGAGGGCAGAGACGACGGTGTGGAGGAAAGAGTAGAGGAGAGAGAGGAATGGAACGATAATGAGAGGCGAACAGTTGCGATGCGAAGGTTCCACGAACCAATGACGTCAGCTCACCTGCAAGACGACGGAGTTGATGATGTCAGCGTACTTAATCGCGAGGTTGAGCGACGTGGACCGCGCGGGCGCGATGCAGAAGCACCGCAGGCGCGCGTTATCAAACCCCACCTCATCGGGGTTCTTATGCAGAATCACCGTCATCATCGCCACAATCCCGCTCCCCAGCGAATGCCCCGCGAGCGTCACCGTATACTCCGGGTTTTCCGCGGCGAGCGCGTTGAGCGTCTCCATCTCCTGGTCGAGCAGCCACGCGGCGGACTTGAGCAGCCCGTGGTGCACGTAGCCGCCGTCGAAGCGCTGCTTGCCGATGCGGTTGTCCATCAGCACGCGGTAGTCGGCGAAGTTCGCCATGTTCAGCCCGCGCACCGCGAGACAGATGTCGCGCGCCGCGTGGTCCACGTAGATCACGTACGGCGGGCACCGGCCCTGCGTGTCCTTGTACCCCGCGAGCCGCACGACGTCTTGAATCTCCAGCCGGTCGTTGTAGACCGGGTTGTTGATATCCTCCTCGTAGACGGACAGCAGGATGCGGCAGATTCTAGGGACGTCTTTAAACTCGTCGTACGTGGCGGGCGGCCAGTCCTTGCTAGCGGTGGAGCCGGAGTGCAGGCAGCGGCGGAAGAGCCACCACACGCACCCGCCCATGAGGCACACCAGGCAAATGAGCAGCGGAACCATGGCTCTGGTTGGCGCTTGCCGGCTACGGGTTACGTGGCGGCTTTCGACGTGGGTGGATAGCGGGTTACTACAAAATGAGGAGAGGCGTCGCGGCGGTTGCGCTCGAGCACGGATGGGTTGGGTGCGATAAGCATGATATCCTCGATAACAGCTGTGCTGCTACTCGATTAAACGCCATTATTATCGTCATGTAAAGAAACAAGCCATCACATTGCATACGAATAAGCGCTTATGTACTCCTCAGGGAAATTGAGAGCGCTTCGCTTCAAGGAGGCAGACGGGAGCATGGGTCAACGCGTGAGTCAACGCGAGGGTCACGCAAGGGTCAACGGGTGGGTCAACGCGCCTGCTCAAGCATTCGTCGCGAGTCGCAGCGCTCGCTGGCGCAGCTGCAGGTCCGCGGACGGCTCGCGGAGACGAAGCGGGGGAATATGGTGCTGCCCGGCGTGCCTTGCATACAATCCTCTGCCCGCGCCCGAAACAAAATATCTCACATTGCTTCCTTGCTGCAACGCAGTGTGCGCGTCTAGTGCGGGTGCTCGAGACTAGAAGCATGAAGTTGGGCCATTCAATCGCGTGTGCACCCTGCTCCCTCCATTTTCCCACACAAGCTTCGGGTCACTCTAAACTGTAAATCGTGAAAGCGCGTGTCGGGGGAGAATAGTGACATGAACATGAGACGAGTAATTGCGAGGGCGGGTCAGGGAGGGTACATTCATGTTCAGATGTTGCGGTTCAGTACGGTGATTTGCAGTAGAGAAAGGTTATCTGATTCCATCGCTTTAAACCGCAACTCACCTCTTCATCTGCGAGAATCAAGCACCAATCCCTGTGCTGCTGACACGGCTGTGCCATCCCCACTTGTCTCGAGGTTGACTTGGCTTTCCGGCACTCCCTCGGGCAAAAGACGTGCGATTGCCCAGCCATTCACGTCAGCGCCTGCTCCTACTACCTTCCCCAATCCCACGTTGCTGGGCTCTGATTGATCCACGGGATTAATTCTGAAGCAGCGTAATGTTTTACCGGGATGTATTGCATCGCGTACGCACTCTCTCTCTCGAACATTTGGCAATGGGTTTGCGAAGTGTTTCGAAACTGGACAAAAAAATTACCCGATTACAGCCCGATCTCATCCCGAGATTCACAAATCCCCCTCGTGAGTGAGTCACGAGCACATTCCGCCTGGGTCAAAAGTAAACTTGTTACGGGTGCAAAGAATCGAGGTAGCGAGGATTGCACTAGGTGTCAAACGAGTACAAAGTAAGAGCGAAGGCATGAGCGAATACTTACACGAGAAACATGCAAACGGTAATGCGGTGCGTGCGAGCTAGCTAGTGCTACGCTGGCAGAGAGGTTCGGGCTAGTCCCGAAGTGTAGGCCGACTCGGTTGGGCCAGCAGTGCGAGGTTTGGTAAAACAGTGCGCGGCGAAGCCCCGTTAGTAGTAACGGGCGAAGAACGGTTGCTGCTGTACGCGATGTTGACGGTCGTTGTAAGGAATGTCAAGAAAATTCCTTACACTACCCCTTCCCCCTCAAGAAGCCCCCTCCGCTACGCGAGTGTGTATATATCGCGGAAACCCCGGCTCCTCAGGTACACTTGCAGGGCAGGGTGGTTTTCGATGTTGGCCAGGGGCACCCAGCGATCCTCAGTTGGCGTACGGTCCTTCCAGGGAACGAGGAACTCGATCAGCCTGATGCCTGTGGGGTGTCGAATCCGATGGCTCAGAATCTTCTCGGGCTCAACGATCAGCTCAACGATGCAGGGCGAGTCATGGATGGCGGGCGGTAACGAGGCAGTTGGCTCGTGGTTGGGATGTAAAGGCGAAGCAGGCTGACGTGGAACGATGGGCTGATGTCAGGGCTCATTTTTGGTTTTGATTAACCCTTACGATCAGTCTAGCACCTGTTCAAAAACCTGATTTCCAGGATTACCCGTTGTGGAAAACCTGATGCGTCAGGGTTTTTGCATGTATTAAAACGACTACCCTGAGGCATCAGTGTACCAATTCGCAAAACCCTGTTTCAGTTGTTATTAGCACAGCACACAATAACAAGCTTAATCATCATCATCAGACATGCCTCGAATGAAACTGTATTTCTGGCCAACGGTGGCCCACCTCGTTCCAGCACACGTAAAGTCCTGCCGAAATCTACATTTTCGAGAGTTGGCAAAGGGAAAATCCAGGTTTCGGGGTCGGGTGGTTAGGGGACGGGGGGGGGGGTGGGGTTTCGCTGGTACGCGCTTCAGGGTAAACCTCGATAAGCGGAACGACAACCCTGAGGCGACAGTGTTCCTTAATCTTAAAACCTGGCACATCAAGGTAAATCAAGGTCCCGAAAACATTACCCCACAGCATCAGTGTTACTACCAAAAATAACCCTTCTAGTCAGGGCATCAGGGTGATTTACACTGATAACGTGGGCCCTGGCTGATGTACCAGTCTTAAGTTCGGTGTATCGAGCGGTACGTAGTCTCCTGACTAGTACGTAATTAGGCGGTGGTGGCGGTCAGCATTCCTCTTAGCGATGACGTTTGCATTTTTATTTGCTTCAGCGACTCTGGTGCGGGCAGCTTGCAGAATCTCGGCGAATTGCTGTGCGCGCGGTGTTGGGTTGTTCGGACTCGGCGTCATGCGCACTGTTGGAGGTTGAGTGTGGTTGAAGGAAACGGTGGTGGGGTGGTTGTATGCCCCCAACCCACCGAATGTGTTTCGGTGCTCACCGTTTGAGTGAGCTGCAGGTTTCACGAAGTGTATGGGTTGACTTCGGAAGACCCACTCGATTCCGTGCCACATGGCAGCACCAGGAACATTCGAGATTGAAGTGACATTCGGTTCGGTGAAATTCGAGTGTCGAATTTCACCCCTTCGAAATGTTACTCGAACATTCGCGAGTGTAGCGGTTCGAGGTTACTTGTGCGACTCGGTCTTGTTTGCATGCTATAAATCTGTTTTCTTTGTATTGCATGCTATCATAGTGAAAACCAGAGTTCTTTGTACGTGGTACATTCGAACAAGAGATTCCAGAGAGCTTCTATACTTGCATTCAAGAGCACCACCCAACACGTGAACGTCTATATCTCGGCGGATACTTAGGCGATCGATGTGTGTGACGGCTCGTTGGAAAGCTAAGACAGAGCTCTATCGTTTAGAACAACTCCCAGTTCCTGCAAAGTAGAGGAGAGTCCTTTACAACAGTGGTATCAGAGCTGGTCGGAGGAGTCTACGTGCGCGACAAGGAGCAAGCATGCCGACTTCAAGCGAGGCCTCCCGCACTTCCTTGGATGGTGTCGTTGTAAATTCCGGCGAACCTTGGGCAACCGCGACGATGTTCGACACGTCGGCGGTACCGATTTTCACGGGACAAAACTACTCCGCGTGGAAGTTTAAGTTCCAAGTGCTCATGATGGAGCGGGGACTTTGGGGTTTCTTCGATGGAACGGAGAAGAAGCCGGACAACGAGAGCAACATCGCGGCATGGAAGAAGAAGGACCAAAAGGCGTTCGCTACGTTGATTTCGCGCATCGGCATCAATCTCGTGAGCTCGGTGCGCATGTGCATCAAGCTCGAAGCGTCGGCGCATGAAGCGTGGAAGCGGCTCGAGACGATCCACGTGAACAAGACTCTCCACGGCAAGATCCTAGCCCGGAACGCGTTCTACACGGTGAAGATACGTGCGGGCGAATCGATGCACGAGTATGCGACTCGTGTGGAGGAACTCGGGGAAACGTTCATGGACCACGGTGGAACGGTCACGGAGGAGGATTGGACCTTGACCTTGCTTTGCGGGCTTCCGGAAGAGTGGTCGACGGTGATTACGACACTCGATAGCGTGCAAGACACTTGGACGAAGGAAATGGTGGTCGGTTGGCTTCTCCATGAAGAATCGCGTCGCTGACAATTCGCTAATGAGAGCGAGGGGACCGCCATGTACTCCGGAGGGAGTTCTGGAAAGAAGTCCAAGTGGAGCAAGGGTGCGACAAATGAATCGTCGGGTGGGAGCGAGCATCGCGGCAAGTGTCACTATTGCCACAAACCGGGACACTTTTGGCGTGAGTGTCAAAAGCGGCCGAGCGATTGGACTCCATCGATGGCGCGGGCCAAAGAGGGCAACGCGCACACGGCATCCGGCGAGGCGGATGATTCTAAGGAGTCGCTCGTGTTATTGGCTGGCAACTGGAACAACACTCCAAGCGATGCGTGGTTCATTGATACCGGCGCAACACAACACATGACGCACTCGGCGTCACGAACGTGCTTCATGTCCCGGGGTTGAAGTTGAACCTTCTATCCGTCCCGCAACTTGCGAAGAAGGGCGTGATCGCCACCATTGACGGTGCGAAGATGAACCTCTTTTGGAAGGGGAAGCAATTCGCACAAGGCGTTCTCAACAGAGAACTATACCAACTCAAGACGCACCTTAGAGCGTCTTCATCCAACGTGGCGTAAGGGTCCAAGGCAACTCTCAAGGCGTGACATAATCTGCTTGCGCACGCCGACTACGAGTCGGTCAAGGAGTTGGCCAACAAAGGACTTGCGAAGGGAGTCGACGTGATCGCCGGCGACGACGAGAAGGGCATGTGCGCGGCGTGTGTCAAAGGAAAAATGGCTCGGAAGCCATTTGGTAGCCGTACCTCACCCTTCGCTAAGGACCCGCTTGCGCTTGTTCACATGGACGTGTGTGGACCGATGAGGCATGCATCAAAGGGAGGAGCGCGGTTCCTCTTGGTGATGCTCGACGACGCGGCACGGATGTGTTGGACCCGATTCTTGAAAGCTAAGGGAGATGCGGCCAAGGCAGTTCAAGAGTGGGCGCTCGAAGTTTGCGACGACGACAAGAAGCGGATCAAGGCTATTCGCACCGATAGTGGCGGCGAATTCATGAATAACGAGCTTGAGAAATGGATGAAGAGCAAGGGCATTAAGCACGACGTCACGACACCCTACACACCCCAACAAAATGGAGAGGCGGAGCGGCTTAATCGCACATTGATGGAAGCC